TGTCACCTTTCTCACTAGCTAGGTTTAGCCCAGGAGCACAGGTGACTCAATGGCTGGGATTGACCTCATTGAATTAAAATGGCCAATTCCCCTGTTTGCAGATGAATACAATGATACAGGTGCCTCTGGCCTGGGGGTATGGGGTAAAGTCTGGCCACAGGGCAGGGCCAGGCAAGGCAGGGCAGGTTCACTGAAGTCCTAAACCTAGAACCGGGTGTGGACAATGGAAGGGAGCAAGGCAAAGGTCACATTTTGTGGGAATGAATTATTTCAGAAATAGCTTTCACCATGTTCGTAATGTTTCCCTAATTGCAGGTTTGATAGATACATGATGACAAATCCCATTTGGTTGATCTTTAATAAAGAAGGTTTATATTCTCAAATACTCAAGTTGCCACCTGTCTCAGAACTTACACCCTAGAAGAAATTAAGGTAATATTCAAATATTTTGTTCCTGTAGTCCCTTTCTGGTTTAAAGTGAGATACCCAAACCAGGAGAGGTTTATGGAAGTGAATTGTGCCAGGAGGTACTCCAAGCAGTAAGAAAATCAGATTGCCACTTCTGCAAGACCTGCCACAAAGAGCCATGTAGAAACCCTGCACAGGGAAATGGTGACTGTGATCAGGAGCCCTAGCCTGGGAATGACAGGTTTTAGGCTACACTGGACATACTGGGGAAACTGCTGTCCTCATTAGAAAGTTTACCTGACTTTAGGAAATAACTCTCTGCTAATAGAACTTTCAACATCAAGGTTCAAGTTCATGGAAGTATAAGCTGGTCTTCATGACAGGCAGAAAGAATTCTGTGGTTCAAAAAATACTTAACTCCACCTTTGTCAGCCCTGAAGGTGTGTCCTGCTTTACGGTAACTTGGTCTTGAGCCACCTTCCCACTCAGGTGACCCAGGATTCCCTGGCCCCAAGTCCTCTCCAGGACTCCAGGCATTTTCACAACTTGGCCACACAAAAGAACACTGAGGCTCCAGCCTTTCCGGAGACAAGCAAGCACACTTTAGTGTTGGCTCAGCAGCCCTTTCACAACCCTGCATATAAACATAGGTGTTGATATAACAATCTTTTTGAACTTTGCATTAAATGCACCACTGGTTAGCAGTGATCTCAACACTCCATCCATTGTCTTCATCAGGAAATGCACAGACAGACCACACATGGTGGGGGTTGGGGGGCAGCAAACACACAGATGTTTATTAAAACACCCTAGTGCAAAATAAAACACTTGAATTGGAGAAAAAAAAATATTTTTGAAAGTATGAAGCCCAGAAAGTAAAAGGGCTTAATGCACCTTAATTAGGTTGCCTTCGTTAGTTGACTATGTAAATGGGCTGAGATTACTTAACTCATATACTCAAGCCTTTATTTCATATGCAAGTACCCTCCAGCAAATGATACAGCAATATCCTGGCGAGTGTGAAGGATGGCACTGGATTCTACTATAAAGGAGGAGTCGGATTCCAGTAGTCGCTGTAGGTTTAACTGGCATGGCTTTGAGAGAGCTATTTTATAAAAGGGGACTCGCCCTACTGAATTAACGCTGAAAAGTGTGCATGTCGGAAACAGCCTTCACTCAAGAGAAGCGCTCAACCACTGAGTGGTTCAGACTTTACCCAAATGACTCCATAGAAAAAATATGCCGTGACAATGATTTCACATTTAAAAAAAAAATTAAAAAGGGTGGTGGTGATGATGACAACGGGGCAGGAACTCTGGGCGCTGCCGGCCTTTCCGAGTCAATCGCCAGCTGAAGGTGATTAAGTCGGTTGTCTCAACGTTGGGAGATAGGAGCTCCAGCCTGGGGAAGCCACCTGGTATCCTGTCCCAGTGGGTCTGATCAGGTTAAGACCGGCTTATAGGACGCCCTGGGGGGCTCAGCCAGGAGCCGAGCTGTCCCCTCGCCACCTTCCGCCCAGGCAGACAACCAAGTTACACACGGGAACTCCGGGAGCACAATGACAACCAGGCACACAAAAGGAGCGAGGCAGTCGCTCCCATCCTTACCTTTCACTTGACTTTCATACTCGGCTATGATCTCTTTGTCCTTTTTGAATCGGCTCGGGGTGGACATTCTCCGGCTGTTCCAGGGCTCGCTTTCAATGGGCAAGTTCTGGCCGGGTGGCTACCGGCCGGTCTCCTTGGAGAGGCAGAGAGTTGCACTCCCCTCTCGCCGAGGAGCCAGAGGCAGCACCCTCGGGAGGGACCCGAGGGACAGGAGGAACGAGAGGAGGAAGGAGAAGAGCGATCAGAGAGAGCCTGGCTCCGGCACCATGCTC